TTGTTTCCTTTTACAAGTCTGAAAAACTGGGTGAAGGTAGGTAGATAATACAATTTACTTAACATTTTTTAGAAGTTTTTTTATACATTTAATAAGGAGAGTGCTTTCGTGAAAATTGCTAATTGGTTTACGGTAGGTCACAAATAGCGTAGGTAGAGAAATTGATAAACATAACGTTTTAGGCCTTGTTTTGGATGACTTCAGTTATTGGGTCCATACAAGTGTCTAATGGTTGTTTTCTGTTAACTTTATTCACTGCGACGTGAATGTGCTTTGAAAACCTTACTATATGTCGACACACACTTGTTCATTCTAAATAGTTTATCATAGTAACCTCTTCCACTGAACATTAGTCCACTTTAATCTGAATGGTTCATTCTCAGTAGACTTCTTGTGAACTTTCACGGTGGTGTCTATGTGACGCGGATGATCTTTCCATTTTCTGGTGGGTTTCTGTGCAGGCAGGTATCATCAGGTGGGTAATGATCTCCACTAAATCCTGCAGATAATTATACTAGACATGGCGTTAGGCACTTAGTAAAGTACACTACCTTATACCTTGGTATTCCGGTTGAAATTTCATCAGTTGTATACGACCATTTACTTGTCTACCTATCATCTATTTTCCGCTCTGTTAATTAATAACTTGATTAAGGACAAACAGGTGAATTTCTCTGGTGAGTGTTCTGTTCCTGATCAATGATTGAATAAAGCGACTTTAGTGATGTCTTTAAAAAGACTTGCGAAATGGGCACAAAAACCCTAATTCGACCTCAAAATTGATCGAACTACGATACAATGTGATCAAAGGAAAGATAGCAATGGAGACATAAAGAATAAGAGTAACATTACAAAGATAATAAGACCAGGTTACTGGAGGGTTACGCGTCTTCTGCTTCTTTGACAGCTTTCGTTATGCAATTTTAAGTCAAGCTGGAGTAATTTAACGTTCACAAAATGACAAAGAACATATAAGGAAATATGTAAATGACCAGCGATCAAAGAGACGGCGTATATGCTTTTTATGATATCAGACGCTTACATCTCAGATGGTGGATGGTTATCAGAATACGCTTTTTTAGTATACTTTAGTATAAACGAAATATTTTTAAATGGAAGAAATAAATATATATAGACATTAATTTCAGTTCTGGTTTAAGGCACACTTTGATAATTATAAAAATATAATACTCTGACTAATTAATGGATTCCTTTTCATTATCAGGTACACTCAGTCCTTAAATACAATGAATTATGCATGCATGAATGCTCCAACTATTTCCCTGAAACGCCATTGACATGTATTGACGATATAAAGCTATACTTCCTACGCAGGGTTACTGAATTGTATTGTAACTGTGATAATTAAAAAAGAAATTTATAAGTTATAGTTTTTATGAGTCTTATTTGTATTAATTTGCTATGTTTTATATACATACCGTTCCCTTTAACGTAGTGGCATGACGCCCACGTGACACGTAGTAGAACATGATAATTATTTCTGTAAACCGTACTGACAATTACATGTATTAGCAAAAAAAGATTGTATCTTATACATTAAATACGATATCTCATTCAATTAAAGATATTTTCATAAATATATAGCATACCTTGTGTAATTGATTTTTATATAAGACATTTATTGAGATACTCATTAGGAAATGCAATGTCTTATACGAATGTAGTTTACATGTCTAAGTCGACTCTGTACACCCACGGCCCACCTCTGAAGATCACGATTTTCGCGAGAGACAAGACACTCGAATGAGCATAATCAAAATCGTCAACCTTCATATCACAAAAAGAAATAAAATCTTTCCCTGAGAGATCAAAATTTTGCCGATAGTCTTTAATCAATCTGCATCAAAACTAAATTTGTCTGTCAGCAGTCGACATCTATCAGGGAAGTCGTGATATTCGGAGCAAGCTCTGGAGTATCGAATCAACTGTGACATGTGAACACCTTTGGTGGTGGAAGCAGGGATGTTACTATGAAGAAAAGCTAAATTAACGATGAAACTAACTAGATGAAGACTTAGTCTAAAGGACGCTCTCACGATATCATTGGGAAATAATTCGTCAACTTGTGCTTATTAGTGTACCTTGTGGGTTCGTTATCTCAGGTTTCCACTTTATTTGAAAACGTGATGTTGCTTAAGTTTACCTAGATTTAAATGGCATGTGTAGTCGATAAATCAAAAACATTTACCCTTACGGAACATCATGGTCTTCTTCTCCTTACTCAGAGTCGCAATGTGAATATTTCCCTTGTTTAAATTTGGTCCTTTTTCAATCGATTTTGACTTAGAACTTGATTATGTTTTCGCTTCTAATTTGTGTTTCCGTATTACATATCCAATTATAACATTTCCGTATTAGATGTCCAATAATAACTCAATATGTCATTTACACTAGTCTTACTGGAATGAAGGCGACATATGCAAATAAGATGACATGAACATTACGTAATGAAAATTCTATTGATATTTATCAACTTATCTTAATTAGTTTGTTCTTTCATGTTCTACCTTACCAGAGAATTAACTAGATGTAAACAGTGTTTTTTTTCTAAAAAGTTTTATTGCTTTCTTACATATGGGTACTGTTGGTTTCTCTTCATCTGTATCTGTTAAATTTGAGAATGGCTGTCTGGAATTTAAGAGACATCTTTTGATATACCCATGTAAAACTACAAAGAACTAATATCATTGATCGCCGGATTTAATTTTATTACATTTTTGCCAATGACATAACGAATTTTATCAACTTGAAAGAACTGAAATCTTTCGGACATATACAAGGAAATTTGTCACGGTGTGAAAACATCCCCTTTTGGTATTGACCAATCAGAACAGTACTTTCTATTCATTTCATTCAAAGCCGCAGACTTGCTATTCAAATACAGAACTACAGTAAAGCAAGTAACTTTGATATATATTTGCTACATACAAATAATATTTATTAATTTTCACAATGGATATCCTTTATGTAAGTACAGTTTACTAGGTATTTGAACATAACGGTGAAATTGTGTTGTATATCCGATTCAAAATAACGCACAGCCTTGTTGTCAAGCGTGGCATCATTAGAATATAGCGCCAATGATTGCGCTATTACATAAAAAACAGTTTTGATGCAGTTATAATTTCGTTATTTCAGTTAGTTCGAAAATGTAATATTAGAAGAAAAAAAGATTTTTTCCCTATTTATACCATATATATTTGACTCGCATGTCAGATAATACCAATATTTCACACGTGCAACGCACTCGTGATACACATAAGCACTATGCTATACTCGTGCAATTTATGTATAATATTCAACAGGAAAACAAAAATTCATTGTCGGTGTTATGCATAAGGTTAGTCGTCTGTCTGTTTAGGGCAAGGAAAACAAGAGATGTGTCATTAAACAACGTGCTTCGATTCTATCCCTGTGGTAAGTGTTCACTTCACAGGAAAACATACGAATTTATTATGTCTATCGATGGGATTGGAGAGAGCACAACATGCTGTATGACATCAGTTGACATCTTTTCTGCTAGGTAATGCGTTCAGGGCAAAGTGGGCTGGTTGATAAAACTACCACTAACAAAACGTAAGTATTTTTAATGTTTAAACAGTAGTGTAGACCATGTTGGATTTTCATTTTTTGGCGCCTAACATGACCGGTGATTCCTCTAAGGAAGAACAGCTGTTTGATGCAATATAAAAAAAAATTAAAGGTACAATGTATAGTCAATTATGCTTGTCTTACGTTCATCTTGTAATTAAAAGACATTATCTATCATACCTTTTAAGAACAGCAGAAATTATGTATGTTTTATAAAAAAAAAAGCATGTTGGATCTGGTTTTGAATCAAATACACATTGAATTTGTTTTTAAATGTAATTAGAAAACTGTAACACGTATTCATGCAAATCCATAAAAGATCTAGATTTAAAATATATTTGTTAAGGTTTCAGTGTTTTAAAGGACAATTTGATTCTGTAACCCATATTCGCGGGTTTATGGTATTCTTTATTGCCTTAAATATTGAAGTGGAGATAAGATTTATGTATTACTGGAAAAAAGTAAAGATTGAAATTCTGTTTTGACGTTGTGATAGGATAATGCCCTGCTATTTAGCAAGAGTGTGTCAAATTGATGTTTAATATACATGATATGAGCCTTAAGTGTTTGTCTATTTCAAAGAGTCAAGAGATAAACGCTCATTTTCAAATCACTTAATAAAGTAATATTAATTTACTTTAGATCGAATAGATAACTTTAAAACCTTAGATATAAGAAACATGACAGGCAGAGCGAAATTATTTATATTAAAAGCGATGTTTTGCTGCTAAGTACATATACCGGTCAAGTCAAGAGCGTATATAGGTACTTGTTTATTCTCCTCTGATATACGATACGTGTCGGAGTGGTGTATCAACCGTCACCTGTACATTATTGCTCACTGGAATATTTAACTCAGGCTAGCGGTGTTACAAATCGGGATAAAACATATGCAATTGGTTTTATATGTATAACAATATATATATATATATTGGGCAACTCGAATCATTGTTCACTGTGCTGGATATCTTCACCAAGTGGTGGATATTGGACTTCACATTTAAGAATTGGAGATTGAACATGCTGTATCGTGTTAGAATATAGGCAATTTCACTTTGATCATACTGCTAAACAACCAATAAGTTATCTTTACTTTTGGGCAGCTCATTACTATTCTAGATATTCATATTACAGAGGAGAGTTATTTACGAAAGGAAATGAACATGCGTCAGACTCGTTAACTAAATGCCAGGCAATTAATTTTATTAGCTAATTGAAAATGTGTTCTACAAATAGCATGTATTTGTCATGTTCGTTTTTGTCTCGACCCTCCTCACCAATTGGCATTTCGATACGATTGATAGTGTTGTATTTTAAATTTAATTTCTACTTTCAGATGTTCACACGAGAGGAAAAATAATGGACGCACAGTTATAAATCTGCTTTGACGTCATGGGTCGATGGGAATTTCAGTCACCCTCAACAACTTGTAGTTCATATAAGGCACGGCAGGAGGAGGATGTGACTAATCGACTTTCTCCTACAAATATTGACTGAGGCAAGGGAACCAATTTAATGTGAGCACCGACTTGGAGACAGGAAGCATCACGTATTGATTTCACCCCAAGAACAAAATACTATTACCTGTTTATGACATAGGACAATCCGTCCAGGAATTCCGGCGGCTGCATACCTGTTGGACACTTAATCGATGGGATTAGAAGCGGTGAATACACTTACATGTTTAGCTTCGGTGGAATTCTAAAACTTACGTGCTTAATGTCCCCACAGACCGTGAGAAATGAACTAGACATTTCAGTAAAAGTACGTTTTGATTCAGGAAGAACTCAAAACTGTGGTATTTTGTGAAGCTACAGTTATGTGAAAAATATTGAATTGTTTTGTGGATTATTTCAAAATTTGTACATATACAGGAACTATTCTGGTTAAGACCGTGCTGTGTTGCTCCGGATTTCGTTATTATTCTTATTTGTGATAGATTTTCTTGGTAACTATGGATATAAGACCAGCAACCCGATCTGTATCGACTTCAAACCTCCCACCAAAGATGGGAGAAAAAGCAAAAACTGCACCTCTTCTCAAGTCAAACAGTTCTTACCTGCTGAAGAGGCAGATAAGCACCATTTCTGAGAAACAAAAGGATGTACCGGTTTTCTCCGAGAGATCTGGTCCATCGTTTGTAGGATTATTGGCTTCCAAACGTTTAGCAAAACGGCTAACGTCCCGAATTCTCGCCGGTCGTACAAGGAGCCTTCTAAACTCGCGCATGTCCGGTCTTACTATCCAGAAGGAGCCTTCGTACCGCATGGAACCGAAAGAATCACTAAAATTTAATTCCTCCAAGGTCGAGAAGATCGCTAACATGGTGCTAGAAGATCGACTTGCCGAACTTAAATACAACCCACGTCTCTGTTCAAATATCAGTCGCCTTATTACAGAGGAAATCAAGGATCGGGTGAAGACACTAAAGTTTGACCGGTACAAGATAATTGTGATTGTTTTTATCGGCGAGAACAAGGACCAGGGTGTTCAGATCTCCAGTCGGTGCGCGTGGGATGACGAAGTCGACAATTTTGCCACTTGCACTTATAAAACTAACGCCATTTACGCCACGGCGACAGTATACGGTGTCTACAATGAATAGTGACGTCATTGTGTAATATGCTCATTTACTACGTAAATTCGATCTGTGATAAGGTAATGTGAAGGAAGTTATTCTATATGCGTTCACAGGTTCTATAAACGAGGTTATCAACACTCTGGTTAGACAATCTGTATACATTACAACCTACAAACACTATGAATGTTGGCACTTCACATGTACTTTTGCGTTGTTTATTTCTTCCTCAATGTTGTAATTAAGTAAGGCATTTACAATGATCAGTTAATGTTAGGACTGTGTAGACGTATTTTAGCATCGATCAAGATTTTAATATGACCTGAAAAACAAATTAAGTCGACTTGAAGGAAATTTCATCATGTTTTTTTTTGTTATTAATTGCAAAATGATGGTTGCATATACATATTACATTGACGCAATATTGTATCATACTTAACGCAAAGTTATCTTTTTATCTTTTCTTTTATTAAAATTACAACAATTACGAAAGCCAATTGCAACCATACCATTGTAGTATGGAGCTATGAGAATGTTGTAGTCAGATTTAGCCGCAAAGTTATCTTATAGCATCAGTGTATTTCAAAGCATAAGTGCAGCGAACTTTAACTTTGATTGAATTATATGATTTTTTATAGCAATTTCATGCCGATTTGCATTTGATTCCCCCATCAACCAACCCTACATTGTTTTGTACATTTGGCACAAGAAATTGAAGTATGAGTATCAACAAGGTTAAAATTTAACTACACTGACCCCATCCGTCCATATTCAAAAGAAACTTTATCAACTTTTCAACTTCAACCGATACCTTTTATTTGAAAGTGAGTATTTTTGCGTATTTTTCAAACAGTAAAGACAAAGTAGGAGAAGGACTTATCACGTTATGAATCAGAAACATCAATATTAGAGTAATAATAAAGTTTGTCAGAATGAAATATTTGTTGCGCACGGAATAATAAATGTTACTGATTGAATTGGAGTTGTTCCTTGCACGGCAGTTGAATCACGCAACTTTTCCAATTTGATTTCAAACAGCTCATCTTCGATACTCCATAGGTTACGCTCACTTTCGCCCTCTAAACCCTCGGAATATGTCATAGCAAAAATGAAGGCACACGGCTAGCTATTGGATTGGTCTCAGGTAAAGAAAATCTGATCAATTTCAAGGCTGATACCCGTCCATTGAAGATTTCAGAGGAGCTACTCGATTTCAAAGGCAGTCAATTTTACCGTTACGCGACCGACAGATTCTTTTGTTGACGTCAGAGGATCAAACTAGTCTTCTCGTTTCATCAACAAGGCGGTGCACACCGATACTTCGATTTTGTCTTGACATGTTCCAGGGGTACAGAGAGCGAAAGTGAGCGAAACCCTGGAGTATCGAGGATACATATTGCTATGGTAATAGATGTAAGACACACACGTGTGAATGTACTTATACCATTTGGTAATAAATACAGTATGTCAAAAGTGAACTACATATTGCACCACACAGCTGTTACGTTCCCGTCCTTCTGGGATTCATCGGTGATACTATATTCCGTCTTTGGGTTTTGCGGAGTTATCTTCTCTTGGGAGCAGTATTGATTGTTACGTCATTGGTTTGTGAGAGAAAATTACGTCGTTTTCTCAAAAATTGATGACGTTACTCTCACAAACAAGTGACGTAACAATCAATACCTGCTCACAAGAGAAGATAACTCTGCAATACGCAAAGAAGGAATATGACAATAGATGATATCAAATGTGTCGCTCTGGTATGGTGATTTTTCTTTAAAGAGAAACAAAATGTTTGTAAATTTAATGACGAAATTATCTACGTATGTGCAAAACTATGTGTATGTATGCATGCACAAAAGTACAGTGTTCTTCTGTATTGAACACTTGATATATACTAGTAATATATTTATTTGTATACATGTACTACAGTAAATGTATTGTATAAATACTGTACTAGAACCATCACTTCAAATATTTCAATATTTGATATTGTAGTGAACGCATGTTAATGTTTGTGTACAAGGTAAATAAATTTCATAAACACGTGTCATATTCGTTATGATCTTATTCTTCGTGTGTATTACTTTTGGTCGACATTTCTTTTAGCTAAATCTAATTCCCTAATTTGAAACTTCTGCCTTAGCATGTTCTAATACTTCAAAGCACGTTTATCAGGTATTACTACAAGCCCATTCACAGTAGCGAAATATTATTTACAAGAGTCGGTTAACTCAACAAACATCGTTATTAACGGAACATACTCGACCCTCGTTTGATATCAAATGTCAGCCCACTACACTAGAACCTTGGTACCCGTAATCATCCCTTTACACACACGACCAACTGTACAAAAGTAAACAGCACGAGTAATTTTAGACTCTGATAAGGCGGTTTGAAGTGTCTTTATAAACATTGACGAGTGATCGAAGCATCGCTCGAACATGTAGACAGGTGATATACATCTCGGTCCATTAGTATTCCCGTTTAAAGCCTTTTTATGTTGCTTAAAATGACATCTCTAGCAGCGTGAGCCTCGTATAAATGAGAAAGAGATGTGTTATTTTAGTGTTGTTCTTATTACTTGTAGATTTGTGCGCTTATTTAAATGACTTCTGAGAGGTGTGCTTGTCTTTGTGATCGCACTAAGTACCCCAGCCATCTCGCTTTGATGCCTTTTCAATTACGGTTATTAGTTGTGTGATATGTTACTAATGAGTGTAAAATGTAAATGACTTAAGGTGGAGTGATTAAAAGCTTGTGCTGGTAACGGTTATGACATACACTTTTTGGTAGCTAACCACGTGAACTGAATATATTACAATCAAACATAACTTTTTACACATGTTTCGTATAAACGATTATTGCGACCTATAACCATCAACAAATATTATTCTCTTCAAGTCATGATAACCCTTTTTCATTGATATATATACACTTTCACACTAAAGTTAGTGTAATTCGCCACCCAAGTATAAATTATGTTAAAGATATAACCGACCTAAACGACCCCAAATGTTCACCTGAAAAGCTTACCTTGTGATTTGAGTAGAACAAGTTTCTTACTTGAGACGTTGATAATCCATAATTATCTTATGACAACATATTATATTTTTTTAATTTACAATTGATTAAACCATTAATGTCGTAAGTTATTCAGTCGAGTATGCAGTACAGATCAGATTTTCATTACATAATTTATATATAAATACTTAAATAATGCCTTGGAATTTGACAACATGCTACGACATTTAAATAAAACCCATGTACTCTCCCGTAAATGTCTAAATCCGTCGAGTAGAAAAGAAAAAACAAATTAAATAGGTATGTCAATAATGGTATTTCGGTGTGAAATGTGATAAAAAAATAAGTATGACATCGTGTTTTTTGTTCGTTCTTATTTAATAAGGTGAGTGGCAAAAACCTATTGAGTGTCAAGTGGACCTCTTATAAAACTATTTAGTTAATAACATATGTATTGTCGGAAATAGTGTTTTTTCTACTTCTCGCGAAATATGCCATGCATTTTTTTCAATAGGATTTTTTTTATACAGTATTTACCTCTATTACACAGCTGAAAAACGCATGGATTTTGTTTTCTCGTTTGAGCATGTTTGAATTTCATCTAAACTAACAATTTCAAATTAATTCTTTTTAATTGATGTTCCGATTTTTTTTCGAAAAGTCGATTTTTTTTACAAAGTATAATTCAATCCATTTTCTGAAAACTATGAAATCAGTATTGTATTTTTGTCGAAGTTGATTATTATGCTGTTCTTCCTAAAATATGACTATGTAGTAATAATCACAGAATAATAGCAAAACAATATGTCAATAGATTTAAGTGTTGTTCATAGGAATACCTCATCACTTAAGACTATATGTAACATTATTGTGACATTCACCACCAATCCAAAATGTTCCACAAAAAGAAATCCCAATAGTAGTTTTCGAGGTTATTTCGACTTGATAAAAATATTTGAAAATATCTTTAATATTAGCCAAAAAACCTGCATTGATATCACCAACGACATTATTATTCATCAAGGGAAATAACTGTAAAATAAAATTACTGTTATAAATGGGTTATTCAACAAGGGAGTTAACTCTAGCATAAAATTACTGTTATAAATGGGTTATCTAACAAGGGAGATAACTGTAACATAAAATTACTATTATAAATAGGTTATTTAACAAGGGAGATAACTGTAACATAAAATTACTGTTATAAATGGGTTATTTAACAAGAGAGATAACTATAACACACAAATATGCATTTATATTGTTTCTTCTTTAATGTCCTATTTCCTTGTGATTACTGGATTGTTAATATAATTGGTCTTTATGTTTACGACTTGTCGAAACTGAAACCAAAAGATGTAAAACGAAGATTTGGGATATTGTTTAGTTAGAAATATAAAAATACAAATAAAATATAAAAAAAAAAGAGACTTTAATTGAGACTAAAATCAAATTTTGAATAACCAAACTAAAAATTATAAACGATTGATAAGAATAAAGGGCACTGTGTATGAATTGATCAGCATGTACCTTGTACAATGGTTTGCTGTGTAAGTGGTCCAAAGCACGGGCTATACCAATTACATACTAGCAATCATGTCGTTTGTTCTCGTGATTTATAACCGGCAATCTTAATGGTTCCATGTGTATAATTTAATTAGCTAGTTCGTGTTGTCTTGTTTGTGTTTATAATCAATGTGTACTCATCTATTTGATTACTAAGCATATTCCTGTGCCGTACTACAGTGTCTTCTTTATGTGTATTGAGATATCTAAAATCTCAATTACACAGACAAGAAGTCAGGAGTTTTAACTGGGTTACTGGTATGTTTTCCTTAGACGGGGTCGTGCAAGCTTAAAGAACAGATGACCAGTGTTTAACTTTTATATAAAGCAAATATACTGTATAATATCGTACACAAAACCTAACATATCACCATATGACAATCTAATGATGAAAATTCCTGAAGAAAGCTACATTATTTCAAGCACCTCACGCTCTAAGATGGGTCAAACGAAGCTTAGTTTAGTGTGGTGACTGGACTAAATTATTCTAAGTAGAATATATATATTTATAAATATATATATATAATATATAAAATATGGGGCAAAGAAGTAATTCCAACTGTGTGGACAAGTTTTCGGAGCGATCCGCTCCTTTATCAAGACACAGTGAAATGTATGATATGTATACACCAACAAGTTAGCACACTGAGTCAAAATCAGACCTCATGTAGACATGCAAGCTTGAGCATTAACCGAGAAGACACCAAATAAAAAGGAAATGCAACTTAAATCATGCGACACTTGTCATGACTATTCATGTCAAATCTAGGAGTATGATGCAAAGTTGACTTTTTTTACTGACTTACTGACTTTTTTAATCGACATAGATTCGTAAAACGCGATTCTGTGCTCACATAATTTCTAAGGAGATCAAATCTCAAAGCAGTTATTTTTGTTTATGTTGAATGTCAAAACGCATAATCGTCTGGTAGGACTGCTTTAATGTCAATTGCGATCAGCTTCACTTCTACAATAACTACTTGGCCGTGTTGGTTTCTAGGGACTTAAAATGCACATTTTTTGAAAGCAAAACGCTCCATTTATGGGAGATGTATAAATAGATTTATTTAAAAAGTACAAAATGTATGACAGCTAAAAGTGAATGGTTTCTACAGAAATCTACAGGAATCTACTGAGATGTTTTACAACTATGAAAATGTTTAAACAAGTCGCACAATAAAATATCAAATGGCTTGTATAGATGACAAAATTTAGAAAATGTTTGCAAAATAAAAATATTATCACAATTTCTTTATAAAGACATAGGCATAAATGCAGTAGGTAACGGAGGATAGATGGAGTCCGTCTTGACATTAAGTAAGCAAATATATACAGAAAAATACCTGAAATAAAACCTATCAAAATGTCACCAAACAAAACATCCCTCTTTAATCCAGCAATCAATATGTTACTTTGACAAATAACTATCACATAATTATCTTAATCGTAAATAAACGAGAAATTCTAATATTTTTAAACATAATTCCATACATCATAACTATTTGCAAAAGCATCCTCGACTCCGTAGTAATAACAACATGAATGATATCTAAATGATTCTTGAGAATAAAAGTTTATACAGGACTTGTTAAGACAGAGGTATCCTTCTTTCCTGACATTAGTTCAATGTAGAGTTCATACATGGCCTCAAACCATAAAACGGACGGATCTAAAGTCGATATTTCAAACTTTCTGATAGTTTGAATTCACTGTTTTTGATGGTTTTGCGTAGTAATCTGTTATCCAAACTTTCCATTTCATTGGTTTCACGTACATATTTTGTTCAGCATGTCTTGTTGGTTTTCTTTAATTTTGTTTTTGATGTCTATTGTCGTGATGTAGGGCCTATTCCCTGTAAACCCCAAACACAGACGCGTTACAAAACCAGGCTTTCCCTTGGTAGGATCCTTGGTACGTATAAGTTGCTGAATTGTCGTATTTATTGTCCCATGCGCATCTGCTCGTGAGCGCCATTGCCTGGTCCTTGGCCTCTCCAATGTATACCACACAGATATATTTGTATCGATCATAATGTAGAGCTTTCATCTGGTCTTTTATTTCGTCACTTAACACTTTTGCCATATTTCTCGCAAATTTAGAATTATATCTATACCTTTCTAACCGAGACGATAGGATATCCTCAAGGATTTGTCGGGCCTTAACTGAGCTGAATTTAAGGTTGGGCTCCATCCGATAGCTCGGCTCCTTCTCGATGTGGACGTTGCTTGCAGCTATCGACGAAGACCTGCGATCTTTACCGAGCTTTGACGTCAGTTTGCTCGTTAATCGCTTAGATGCCATCAATCCAACTATAGTTGGTCCGGACGTTGCGGGCTTCATCGTCTTTTTGACCTGTCCCGCATCCGTCGATGCTGACTTCCTATCCGCCATATTTGCTGGTTGTGCTGTTTCCTGTCTAGGCAGTTTATTCCTGTTATTCGAAAGCAGTATGTTGTGATCTGGTTTCGTCCTTCAGTGGCAACACCAGCTGTGTTGTGCTGTGAACTCCTAGAGATAAAAACAAAAAATGCGGTATTAATGCCAGTATAAGCACAATATAGACAACCACACGTTGTTGTGTGTGACAAACTACTGTTTTGTTTGTCGAACATTCTAAAATGGAAATGTTCGCTTTGTGGCCCTTTAAACTAATCGCGGTGTAGAACATGTCCAGCTTGCAATAATTCTGAAATCTAAACATTAAACTATGATCTAAAAAATAAATTTTCGCGTGATGATATTTCGCGGTTATTAACCCTTAATGCGAAAAACGCGAATATTTCACAACCACGAACATTTCAAATTTAACAGTATGTTCTAGCACATTCTGTAAAGACAGAATGACGTTAAACCATCCACTGAAAATATATATACATTGGCTTGATGATTTCGTGTGGCGGACTTAATTCATAATGTTAAGTTTTGTATTTGGAATCAGATAAACACTTGCTCTAGTGGTATTGCTATGGTCAAACCACGTCAGTTCTAAATCGGGGGTTTCATACAGTTGACTGGATTCCATGTAACAACGTAAACAAATCAATTGAACGGAATGTTGAACTGGAAATCAAAACCAAATAGTTATGCCATGGTTTACATTTACAAGCATGTATACACAGGTATATTGGTCGATAAATAAATGGCAGACTCTTTTAAGGAATCGAATGTTTAATACTAGGCCATTCTTTTATTTGTTAATAAACATTGTCTGAGGAACTCTTTTGAGCTACAGACTTACTCGGACTTATCAATATATAATATATAATAAAGACATTAAAACTTTTATGTAAATTTCTGACGAAACCTGCTATGAATGAGAGTAACAGCGTCGTTTGTCATAGCGTCTCAATATCTGATGTAGGAACACATTTGCTTGATTCCATTGATTAAAGCTATCTTATTGAAACTGAAAAAAAAAATCCGTCACACAACACTTATCGCGTAATATTGGAATTCTATACGAACAGTTTAAAAAATTAAACGTATAGAATGTTGATCACGGCTAGCTTATGTCAATGCTGTACTGTTCATATCGCCCAGGTAAAAGTTGAGTCGACAGGTAGCATACAGCATGGCATTCACACCTGCACGTTAAGCAATTGAGATAATGAAAGCAAATTGCCAAAGCGATTTCAAACACCACGCCAATTATGCGTATATTATAGTTTTGATGCCATGTAAAGTTTGTTGAATACGCCTTAACAGAACGTGAATTACAGGTGTCCCAGTGGCGGTGAAAGGACTATAATCACACGGTCTAATCTATACACTGACATATCCACAATGATTTTATCCAACTTTTATCCCAAACCTTTTTGTTAATTATGTTAATAACTGGTATGACAAGGTTTAGTCGACATGCTCTTAATAATTTTTATTTCAAGTAATAACTAAATTATGATTTTATGGCTGGTGGTTGAAATACATAGCCAAAAATTATATAAATAGCCAAAGACGCCAAGAACATCGAATTAGTTCTATGGATTTTCCCACAGGCAATATTTCTGAAAGAGGATACGTTATAGTTTAACAAAGTTTAAGTTTTCATATATCTATGGATACCCGCTTTCATTGTTTCAATATGATATATAGTATAATAAGTAATATTCTGCATTGATAAACTAGTTTTTTAAATATTCAGCATCGTTTCCTTCTTCAAATTCCTAGTTATTAACAAAATCATGTTTATATTCTAATGCCAATCAAAGATATAATCCGAAAATAGTATGAATTTTCTCGTTCACTTACAAACGTGTTTGTTATCAATTAAACATATCATTGCTGTACGATAATGAAATGTAAAATATAACGTTTGGAATGAAAGACATCAAAACCCAGGTGAAACATATGATCCATAACTGGATAAATTACATCCAAAACATGCTTTATATATGTATCCATGTCGTTACTGTTTACATGTAAGTATTTGACCTACTATTAAATTATAAACATCAGAAACAATATCAGTGAGTCTTACCTCAAAATTAAACAACTGCCGGATACCCTTCAGAGACACCTATGTTCAGTGAGCTCCTATCCCTAACCGTCTGGGTACAGCACGGTACAGATAATGAGCTAGGCTTTCGAGTGTGTGTTTAATCGTTTTTTTGCCTGCAGTCTCACTGGCTATTTATATGCCTTTCATTATTACAGTATTTGCAGACGCACCAGAAGTATACATTTGAAGGTCTTTTTACTATTCGTATTAACTTCAACTGTTAAAAATTTCTACGTAATAAAAAGTATTAAAAAAACATATAATTGCGTACATTTTCAAAACCAAAAGTGCAGCAAATAACCCTTTCAAGGCAGTTAGATTGAATGAACCAAGTTCTGAATCAGCATTACAATAAATGTGGAAATACCATGCATCGATGTTTACACAACCTTTCTGGCGAAAGTCTACACAATAACTCCATCGATTGTATACCTCAGCAGAGGTTTCAAGTTTATTCTCCTTTCTTGAATTTCATATCTAGGCATTTAAATTTAATTGACAAACGATAACTGAAAAGACTTCAGTCATAGTATGTTTCCTCAATGTCCCCTCGAAGCGACACAAGCTGTTGAGAATGAAATCAGTAAAATAGTTGTATTGATTGCCCGTGTGTTAGTATTGTTGTCTTTGTGTACAGAGTTGATCGATGCTTTGGTAATCACTATGATAAATAATGCCGGCTCGACGTGACAGTGTAAATAACTCTAATGGTAAAAAGGAACACCAATATACGATCTTATTACAGACAATATAGCAAGCGGCAGAAAACATGATTTAGAATTCAAGTGAATTTTAAACTTCCCTTTTAAATTCCTATTTCATGTTTATCTATAAGCAAGGGTGAAAATATAGGATATGTCCTATATTTTCACTAAAAAAATGTTTTATATGTTATATATACTGACCGATAACGACTGCAGACTTTGAACATCAAATTTATATTAAAATGCACGCATTAATGAAAACATTATGCGATCTAAGATAACGTTTTGAATATTTTGTTAATGTTTTTTCTATTGTTAATAAGAAAAGAACCATATCAATTCAAAATGAATTTAGACCTACACATAGCTGTCATTTCATTTAGCTGTATTCAACTGACTCGTTTTTAATGCATGATACGCTGATGTCCTTCCTTTTATCAATACACAAATTGGACAGAAACTCATTATAGAGTATTCATTCTGAATGACCTTTTTATTATCAAGTAAGATCTTTTGCAAAATAAAAAAACCCATCATATTCCTCGTCAAAATACACATATTTGTCAGATGTATATTAATATGAACCCGTTTTCATTAAAATTCATCAATTTAAACCTACTCCTTACAAATTCTCTTTACTGATTCAGTTCGTGTAAATAACGGGAATATAACAGCATGAATGACACGAAACAATGTGTATACTAGGAGGTTGGTAGTCAAGTGCACCATGACCCCTTAAGTTGACCTGCCTGACTAACATAAGATGATCGAGGCCATCCATCCGTGCCGCCTTTATCAATGATCTCTGGGTATTCTATTGTCTCGATGGGATTAGTCAGTAGTCGTTATCGGCCAGTCACATTACATTACATTAATTGTCTTTATACGTAAAGTCAATGTCTATGTATAGAATATGTTCACATGGTGTTGTTAGGTCCACAAAGATCCGTTCAGCTATTATAAACTGTATTGGAAATATTCTCAATATTTGGTAGAACAGTGTCCATGACCAAACGCATAAACATTTAAATAAATGAATGCTCCGGCGGAAAATAAAAAAATAATTATGCAATTATCAACTTAACGGGAGAGGGTTCTGGTATGTTATGTGGCCTATTAAATAACACTAATTTTCTACCAAACTATTAATGCAGAACCTTGAAATTCATTTTTTTGTAATTTACTTTGGTATACCATCAAACGATTTTGTCCGTTATTGGGTTCAACACGTATTACACAAACATATATCACATATCAAGGAAACCAATTAAGATGACAAAAACCAGTAATTTTAGTTACATATACAGGCATTATTTGTATGTGAGAAAAAGCTATATAATTAACAACGGGGACATACTTTGTTTGGCTCTCTAGGTCGACAAATTAAATTTTTGAATAGGTGCTTCCAATTTCGTATTCCCAGCGATTATTAGATGAAATCGAATGACAAATTAAGTAGATCGAAAACTGTCCTGTATTGCGTGACACGACAAACTTTCAAAACAAAAATCTGATAAACATGTTAAGAGCATGGAGTAAAAAAAAGGCATTCAACCATTGACTTTAACTTATGTATATCTCACAGTGCGCACTGGATGTTGATGTTTGCGATATAACGAACACAACACTGAGAGCATGATGTCTACACATACAGTAGGAGTATATGAACGAATATTGATTCGATGATTAACGAGCACACTGTAAGTATAAGATCGTTATCTATCCACAATTAGAAACCATGTTAACGGTAGGTAACGTCAGTCTATAACAGTATTAACATAACACTATTAACATAACACTGACCTGTCCCCCAAACAAGAATTGAAGGAAATTACCATTAACCGAATATTGTTTTTAAAAATACATGTGAGCATGTTATTTGTCTGTTTTAACAAAATAAAAGAATGCTCCCCGTCGCCATGTTGTGGAAATTGAAAAGCTGAAGTGGTTTTTTGTGTAGAAGAATCGGGCATGTCTAAGGTTTAAGCTTGGGGCGATCTTTTAGATCTATCTGAACGTAATCATGTTGATAAGCAGTTAAATAAACAGTTCAAGGCTGTATTGTTGAACAGCTCTCCTTTATCAGCCATGTATTAATAGTATTGCCTTCATTCTTGTCCCTCGATCAACCATACAATACAATTACCTGACAAGTGGGTCAGTGTATTGTTAGCTTTACGCTCTCACAAGACAAAATCAAATCATAATGTTTCTGTACAGGAATCGTACAGTCGAAAGTTTATTTCGCAAGACATAGAAATATCTTTAATAATTAACATGCATTTGGTTTTTTTAAATAATTTTATCCCGGAATAAGGAGTTACTGTTCTGAAGATTGTAAGTTGATCAGACTCGGCCTGTGTTAAATATGTCGTGTCGAGCCCACTCCAACTGATCTGTACAATGTATAATATAGGAGTATTCTTATACCTACATTTATATTTACGCCCATGGAAGAATACATGGCCAAGTTTAACCGGTGGAAACTTTTCCAATTGCTATTTTATTGTTTTTGGGGTACCTGTATTTCTTCCTTACATGAAATAAATTCGAACCATTCGGTTACACTTTATTTCGTTTACAAGACGGCTTATTTTGTGTTACAAACGATAAATTGACAAATATTGTAATAAAACTTTTGCCAAACACATGTCAGAGTACAGACTGAAATAAGACCAACCTTAGCCATACCTACTTCCAATGCTTCATAGGTGGTTCATACTTAACATGTTACTATTGGTATATACTATGATATATATATATAATTTGTTCCCAATCGTTACAAAGTGTCAATACTGATTCAATATGCTTAGTACAGCGAAACCTAAATAACCTGTTTTCTCCCCATAATTGCTGTTCTGACTCCTTTTGTTGACAAAGGGGTTAGTGTTCAAACAACCACTAGGCGTAAAATCGATCATTTCATGTTTCATTATAGTGATAAACAATCCACCAACAATAGCCAACAAACAAACGACTTAGACAGCCAGCCTGTTTTACAACGTACTGCTGTAATACTACACCAATCTGTGGCTGTATCCTACATACAAAGTTACTCTATTCGTGCTGTAGCTGTTAAACTATATGTGATTATAATACACACAAAAAATATAATTACAGTTGCCGTCATCAACAAATCAAAGATCACTCAAACATAATTAGAAACAAAATACTACTGTCGTTTCGCTCAGAAACACAAAACAATTATTAGGTAGAAAACAATCGTCAAGAAAACTTACCTGTGGTTAAATGTCGAGTGTGTGTATACATCAATTAAAACGCACAGCACTTTTAAATTTCACAAGCGAACCTCCTTATCTACACTACCTCTACGTTTTGTCTATTGAGGTCACGTGATCCAGAATACAACGACAAGGTAACCAAGCAAACTGGTCGAGTTACCTCCCCTCGTCATTGATGGCACATTGTGTTCTAACTATCGGAGAAATGAAATAATAGCCAACTGGAAAGTTTTAACGATCACACTGCCGTTGCATCTATCTCTTATGCAAATAACAGCTCGTGCTGGGTTTTTTGATCCAATACTGCTTTGAAAGGATTTAGTGCCCAGCGATCGAAGAGCGTATATACATACCTATTAATGTTGTTATATAGCTCATTCTTTAAATTCCAATGCGTCTCCTAATGCATTTTCCTATCGTCTTTCATCTATGGTGACGTTTTGACATATTTTTCTTGATGTGATGCTCCTTCAACGTTATTAATTCCGAACTACGACCGGTGTAAACAAAGGAGGTATCTTAGTGCACACGTAGGTAGTGTCAGGCTGGAACTATGGCCGACTCCATGTGTATCGCATGCTCCAGGTAGCAATGTTATTACGGAGTACAATCAACTTGTTTCGAAAGAAATTGATTTATTTGATAACAATGCTCTCACTCGTCAATGAGATAATGAAGATATGATTAGACAAACATTTAGATATTCCAGCGTGAGAGAGACAATGGCTGTCGTTGAAATGAGTGACATTTGAGGTTAACGTGAGAAGTAAATCGTTACCCTAGGTGGTACGTTAGTGATATATCGACAGGGAATATGTCCACGCTCGGTACATAATGTGTCTATTGTACAGCTTTTAACAATGGTTGTACTTGTCAATCATATATTTTGATTGCTTGCCGTACTTTTGAATCGAGTTCCCATTATAAAAAATTGTTATGAAACTAGTTTCATCGAGTTGTGTAGAATCAGATGGAATTGAAACTATTTCGAGATAATTCTCATTATATGCACAATAAAGGGACGTAGTATATCCAATTTTACGTCAAATATGACTAGCTTTGTGTCAACTCAATGATAGAAATCACGTTTGATATAAATCAAAATTAAACACATTTTCAAAATTATATTTGATTTTTCAATTAAGTTATTATAATTATTTTGAAAAACTAATATAGAAAAGATAGAAAATGTATTATCTGCCGCCTATTCTGCTCCCACATCTCTATTTAAAGCGGGATAACTTACTTGTTCTTTAAACTTTCATTTCGAAAAAGTATTATTTTATAACACACTTTGTCATATTAGGTGTAGGTCAATGGGTGCGCCTATAAGAGTTATCACATGGGTGTCCCACTTATAGCACGTGTACTTTGCAGACATAGAGTAAGGTTAATGTACAGTTTTTGGTCATGATTAGGATCGCAAGGATACAAAATTATTTCAATAATTCTAAATTGTTAAGAATGATTGTTGTGAAACCATTATAAACTGATTTTGACAAAAACTGCTCCTTAAATTGAAAGAGAATTAAAGTTTTTTTCTACCTTTTATTTTTGACCTTTGTCCATTTTCTCATAAAGATTAAAACGCAAATGAAAACATTTTTGTTTCCAATTCCAATGAACTGTACATCAACAAAGTTTAAAAGGAAGCGTGAAGGAAAACCTCGCTACAACTGCCACGATTGGCGATGAAAATACGAGTTTTATATTTCTGTTATAAACTATTTTGTGTGTGTGCGTCAACATCGGTTACGAAATGGCTTCACAATTATTTCCAAAGATTCGATTTTGTTTTATATTACATAACAGTTATTTTCTTTGTGAACTAAGTTATTACAAACAAATATACATATATATATCTTAATCGGATATCAAGGAGGAAATATAAATTAGGTTTGATATGAATTCAATTAATTAATTATCATATTGATATTAATCAAATCAGGAATTGGACATTTTGAGTATCTCACAGCATGATAATATATAGGGTTTATATAGGGTTTTAAGTTACGCTGTGAGAGGTCAATTTACAGTGTAAAAATATGAAAATAATTAACCATGGTTTGAGAGTGATAAACCAGTGAAGTTGGACGGAAATATACATTCTCAACAATTACCTTTGTATTACAATGTTACATACACAAACGGACTTCATAAATATGATGACATCTTAGATAATGTAAATAAAATACTTTGTTCCTTCATTGAGCTTCAAATAAGTTTTTATATGAAGATTAATAATCATGACATATTACGCCAATAATCTTTGTTTAATCCTCGATAATCCAGGGGTATCGTTTACTTACGCTCTCTGCAGTCCTGGAATATGTCATAGCAAAATTGAAGGCACGTTGCTAGATTTTTGTTTGGTCTATGCTAAAACAAAAATCCTGACCAATCGCTTGGCTGATACCTGTCCTTTAACACTTACAGAGGGGCGCCACCCGTCTTCAAAGCAAGTCAATTTTACCGTTATGCGACCGCAAGATTCTTCTGATATACATCAAAGAATCAAACTAGTCTTCTTGTCTCATTCACAAGGTGGCACACACTGAGCCTTCGGTTTTGCTATGACATATTCTAATGGTGCAGAGAGTGAAAGTGAGTGTTAACCCTGGAGTAATGACTTACCACAAGTGAGTGGTGCCATTCCCATACTATATATATTATCATTTCGTTATTTCGTAACAAGATTGTCATTACTTATGGGGTATTTCGACTTCAAAGTAATTGAAACTTATATAAAGCTGCCTTTTGAAATATTCAAATAATATAAGCAATATTGGTAAATAAAGATTTTTGTCTTAAAGTTACTTCTTCAACACAATCGCCAACAGAAAAAAAGACCGTATTGATATTGTATCGAATGACCTAAACTGCTAAATCCATCCTCAATACCCCAGCGGTTACGCTCACTTATGCTCTCTGCAAAAGTGGGCGTATCGATGATGTAATAAGGCAAGATAACGTCTGTACCACAGAAAAGTCAAGAAACGACAAATTGTTAAACAATAAAACCAAGAAGAAAGAAAACAAAAAAATATTTTTAAACAGAATACTAGATCTTGAACCTTATACATGTACCAAATATTTGAGGACGATCGCGATCTTTTAGTGAAGATATTCACTGTCAGATACATTCCAGGTTGGTTCATGTTGGTATGACTTTTGGTTTCAATTGATCATAAAAACAAAGTCAAATTGCTTTTGCTTAGTTCATTTGAAATTCTCCTAGAAATACTCACAGTTTAGATAATATTTGCACAATTGAAAGAGACCTTTAATCTGCCTTTTCAGTAAGGATATTAAATTAATATTTTACCAACGGTGATCGTTGAGTAACACCTATGTGAACATTCCAGTTCGTGTGTCTTTATTAAAATTAATCGGTGTATGTAGGATCTGATAAATGTTAGATTGTTGATAGCAATGTTAGAAAGTAAATGGGAATTAACCTTACAATTGTACGCTAATCTTTTGTATAAATACTTCGTGTACGTTGTAATATAAAATGCAATTACCTCATTGTCCATCAGTAAATATTGATCTACATACCACAACACTGCTTATACTGCTTTGGGTACTACACTGGGTACTTATTTGAAACCTTATTTTGATTAGGGACCCGTAAAGCAAGGCACAAGAGTGTTCAATCGTTGAGATACAGCCACTGGTATCAGTTTGTCACTATCCAGCGCATTTGAAGAGAGATTTGTTATTGGTCCAAAAGTGACCTAGTTAACGATCCACCATTTTTGCCGGGGAAAAAATGTGTTTGGTCAATTGCCTCAACGCTAATAGCAAGATAACATAGTTTTTTATCTGCGGTGTTCAAAGGTCAGTGTGTAATGACATTGAGATGACCATTGATATAAAAACAATTACTTTTACATACAACGGAAAAGTTCCATTTTCCGATACCAGTACTGTTCGTAAAATGGAATGAAGAATTCGATAACACATAAAGGCCGTTTGAAATGTCACAGAGTGTATAAGCACACATGATTCATAGAAGGAGATTAGACAATGACGGGGACACGACCCAAGAGCAATTATAAGTACCTGTGCGGTATGTGTATTGATATTCTATTCACAGTAACCCTCTCGACTGAGTAGAATTCAGATCATAATCTTATTTATAAAATAGGGTTTATATTTTGCTGAATGTAAAACTTTTTTTTCAAAATATGTCCAGAATTTTGTACTCGCTGTAGGAGATAAGTTTTTTATTGTACTATTTATTGCAATAAAGAGCGAAATATAGAATTAATGTTCATATGTTATTCTGTGCGTTATATTCATTTTCCAATTTCATTGTGTTGTGCATGCTTTATTCAAGACACGGGATTTTCAATTAATAATGTGTTTCCTTGACAAATGTAACATATATCATATTTTAATACAAATTACTTATGTGCATCTAAAATGTCTGTTTGGTAATCTACGGAATGCACACGATGTCGTCCCAGTCCAACATGATATGATAATGATATAATCACCGAAAGTGGCGTGTGATACACTGATGAACATTGAAACACGTTGATAGTTGAATACGGGAGTAGGATCTTTGAAACAATCAGAATCTCAAATTTTCAATATAAAATGTTGAATAGGGAGGTTTCCCTGTGTATCCCATAAATAAACATCCTATCTAGCTTTCTGACTTAATATATAGTAAAAAAAAACGCGTTAACCTTGAGGAGAAGCCACGTATGCGTGTTATGGCAACACCAACGTATTCCGATATGCTCTCTAATATGACAGGTGTATTGTTCTTCATTGGGTGTCGGATAAGACAGGTTTAATCTGACCAATGCATGTTGTACATTAGGATGTCGGATTAATTAGGTTTATCTGACTGATATGTTGTATCCAGCAGGATGTCAGATCAGAAGGTTAATCTGATAAATGTGTTTCTGTTCTACAGTGTCTCCGATTACATAGGTACATTAGACTGTTGTTCCCCTGTACAGGGAGTCAGAAAATTTAATCTGACCACGGTGTTGTATCAACTGGTCAAAATCCACAGGGTGTCGGATTACAAAAGTTAAACTGATCAAATTATAGAGTTCCACAGAGTGTCCGATAGGACAGGGCTCATTGTTTATGTTATCTTTGTTAGCTATTCTGACATTCTGAATATAAGTAGAGGTTTGCAAACAAGAATTAGACACGAATAAATTACGTCAGATATTTTATTCTTGGTGTGATTGTTTATCACAAAAAACTCTCCAAAACATTGTCGCCCATTATAACATACCCAAGGCTTTGTATATCGATAATTGAACACATACTGGTAATATTGACCAAGGTTAGAATGGTCAGAACAACGACATCAAACCAGTAGTGACCAATGCAGAAATAGGTTAGAACTGGTCAATCTGATCAATAAATAAGGCTCAATAAATAAGGGACCACTAAACCGGTCAAAAGTCCTACATAGCAATAACTTACCAACACAACGAGCCTAGACACAATCTGCACATGACCACTAGCGGTCAAGAGTTCAACGAATGCATATAAAATCGATGCTGATATCAATAAGCTATTATCACCAAAAATCGATGAAGTCAATTCATCAACTTGCATTCCATAAGCTTATAGCATCGATGTTCTTCCCGTTGACTGGTGCAACGAATCTGAATAATATACAAGTCTAACCTGACGACAATTGAGGATGTTTAATTTATTAGTAAGCCTAACTACTGGGCACTGAGTGTACAGGTTGGCCACATACATTACACATGCATACACTGACCAACTTCTACAAG